ACCGCCATCTGTTGTGATTTAGAGAGATAAGGAATGATTTTTTGAGAATGATACTTAAAAAGAGAAGACCTTTGGTGTAAGTGGTTTAGAAAGACTTTACAAATTATTGTTTGCTCAGCAGGCTAGACCCAGGTAACTAGGGGAGAAGAGCAATCCATTAAGAACAGCAGTAACTTCTCATATTTGTGGTGGCATATCATTGCTGACTAAAACTCCTTTCCTGATGGACCTGGTGAAAAAGTCTCGTTAAGACATGAACTCATACCAGAGTTCAAGAAGCTGTTGGGATCCTTGGTGATTCTAGGCATAGTTACCACTAAAAACTGTGAGGGTCCAGTACTTCTAAGTCTTCTTCCAAATGGAAACTGCCTAGTCTTGGTGCCAGTAAACTGGATAACGGTGGCTGAAGAGATGTACGTCATCTGCAGCCTTCACGTCCGGCCTCTGACCTTCTTGCAAGACAAGTGTTTGCAGGAAGGAAAGCTGCTTAATGCACCTTGCACTTGTTGCAGCAGAACTTCCTAGAGTTCAAAGCAACCATGACAAACTTTTGTTTGCCTTCACTTCTCTCCTTTCTTTGTTCTTTAAAATCCCTGCTCCTTACAATTTGTCCTCCAGTCCTTTGTAACAGTTGATGTTTGCTGACCTGCCACATACTTAAGATTTTCCAGCAAAAGTTGCACCAGGTGAACAGGCAGAGAAATCTACATAGCCCTGGTTATGGTTGTATGAGGCTGCAAATTTTACCTTCTCCTGTTGCTTTTGGTTTTCCTAGCCTGCTTTTTTGCTGTGTTGCTGAGACAGAGCTTAAGAAGCAGTTAGTGCTGACTGTCAGGGGAAGGAAGGTGGACGCGGTGATTTAATATTAACCTGTTGATGATAGCTGCAGACTTCAGAGCTGGTAAGCATGAATCTCCGCGGTGAGCATATTAGCAGCTGTTGGGTGCTCAAAATCATAGTTCTGCCTTCACACTCCTTTCTCTGGCACGTTTGTTTTAACCAGGGGAAGTGAAACATTCAGACCTGCTACAGTCTCTTCGGGTTACCCCCTTCCCGCTGGGGCGATAACCCAGTGTGGGGAGAGAGTGTTAATCTATTTCATTCAGTCCCTCCAGTCTGTAGGGCAGTGTTAGCCAATAAATACTCTTGGCCTTTAAAAGGAAAACTGGAAAGCAAAATTAAATGAAATTGGCAAACTCCCTAGTGTGGTGAACAAACTGAGAAGAGTTGTGGCAGTGCAGAACTCTCAATTCATGGCAGGGAAATAAAATTGAGCTCCTGAATCTGGTAACAAGCTGATTTTTTTATCATTAAACTCAACTACTATTCTCTCTCAAGCACTCTCCTTTGAAACTGTCTGTAAGCTGTGGGTTAGCTGACTAACCAGTGTTTTGCACCTAGGCCTAAATAAAATTGCAAGGTGAAATTGAAGTTTCACACATCTCTGTAAAGGCCGCCATGTAGGATGAGCTAGTGCTACTTCAGAGGCTTTTTAGAGCAGGGCAATTTAGAAGTACACACTTAGCTGCCAACTTTCAAAAAAGCTGTAAGTTCCAGAAACTTTGAACTTCTCCTTCCGAAGAGAAGTAACTGTTCCTCTGTACCCTGCTTTGAAGGCAGCAAGCCTGTCTCCCAAGGTTATTAAAAAAGCCCCAACATATATATATGTAAATGTTCTAGGAGATGCCTGAGAAGGACATGTCCAAAAGCAATTTTGATACTCATATTCTCAAGTATGAGAGAGTATGAGTATAAATATCTTGTATATGGATCAAATATGTAACATTACATGAGACTTAAGACCTTAGAGGGTTTGAATCCTAATCATACTGTGTGGCTGAGTCTCCATGCTGTGTCCCTTATCATTTGAGGCTCCCAATTTTATTTGTAACTCTTCCAGCTAACTTTCCTGGATGTGTACCAGTGGTATTAAATAAGATTGAGGGGGGATTTCTAGGAAGCCATCTTCATTGTCTCAGATTGCATTTTATTTGGAAGATTCATCAGCTGCAAACCTCCTTTCCTGTCTGGAGGTCAGACATGTTGTCTGTAAAGGAGTACCTTTTGTTGCTTGGTAGAGACTTTTAGCTTCCATTAGCTGTTCTGGACAAAAGTTACCTAGGCTGAGCTGGTTTAGTGAATGTCGGGCGCTAGCCCATCCTGTTTTCTACCTTTTTCTGGTCTCTAAATCTCATGCGAATGTTTGAAATGCTGAAGAGAAGGAGGAGGAGTTTCTTACAAATCGGGCTATCCAGAAACTGTTCTAATGCATTAACACTGATTACGGTGCAGCAACCTTTGGGGCCCTCGGGCTGATAAATAGCAGGTTTGTGAAGTGGTCTTGCGTTAGACTAGTTCAGGTACTTGTATATTTCTGAGTGCTATTTTAATAAGCTTTCACAAGAGGGCAGAGTAGAATTTGCTCCGGGAAGCATAATTGCCTTGACTCATGTATATCTAGAAATGACCCAGCTCAGATTCCTTTGCTGTCACGACAGCACCAGCTGTATTATTCGTGCTGTCCACCTGTATCACGTACTGCCCTGGGCGCTGTGTGGCTCTTCAGTCTCTGCTCCCCAACGGAGAGTCCCAGGGAAAACCACAGCCTATCTCAAGCGTCCCTCCCTGGCGTGGGAATGTCGGAGCATGGAGGAGGAGAGGTCTGTAAATGTGGCCCCTGCACCAGTGCTGCCAATGTTTGCTTGTTGGTCATAGCTAAAACAATCACGTAGCTGTTGTTAGCACAAAAATATTGTCGTTGTTAGTGCAAGATAACGGTGTGGCACAGATAAGCAAGCTCTTTGTAGTTTGCAAATGTAATAAAGGAGATACTGCCTGAAAGCAGCGAGGTTTCCTTGCAAGGTATTGAGGTGTGGTAAAATATGACCAGGAAAGCTACTTGAAAAGGAAATACTGTGTATCTCTAACTTTATGAATCTTTAAGTATGTTGGCTAATTCATTTATTACAGTTATTACAATAATACCTAGGACCATCATCCTTGTTGAAACAGTTTAGAGTCCACAGAGAAAACTAGCTTGCCCTGCCCCCTTTCTTATTAGAGGACAAGCTGAGTTAGGTGTTTTTTTCCTGGAGCATCTCAGAAGTGTAGTTTCAATCCCTTGTTGTTTAGCTGAAAGAGCTTCTTCTGATATTTCATCACTCTGAAGAGTTTTCTGGCAGGTTATCCTGTACAATTCAGTGCTACCTCAATTAATGCAAGTCAATTGACATTTAGCATTATAATATTCTCTGTGTGTAAAGACTTTCATGTTCTTTTTTTTTTTTCCTCCTTCAGATTGACCCCAAAGATTACACTTTTTCCGGACTTAAGGACGAAACTGTGGGTCGACTGCCTGGAAAAGTAGCAGGGCAACAATTTGTCATTCAGGACTGTGAGAGCTGTAGTATCTACATATTTGACCATTCAGCTACAATCACCATTGATGAATGTGTAAACTGCCAAATCTTTTTAGGACCAATAAAAGGCAGCGTGTTTTTCCGTGACTGCAAAGATTGTAAATGCATAGTGGCCTGCCAACAGTTTCGTGCTCGGGACTGCAGAAAGCTGGAGGTATTCTTGTGCTGTGCCACCCAGCCCATTATTGAGTCCTCCACAGGTATGAAATTTGGATGTTTCCAGTACTATTATCCTGAGCTTGCTTTACAATTTAAAGATGCTGGACTGAGTATCTTCAATAACACATGGAGCAACATCCATGACTTTACCCCTGTCTCAGGAGAAAATAATTGGGGCCTTTTGCCCGAGAATGCTGTAGTCCAAGATTATGTTCCTCTGCCCAGCTCTGAGGAGCTGAAAGCTGTCAGAATTTCTACTGATGCTACAAGGAGCATAATACCAATAACTCGAGGGCGGAGACAGAAAAGCAGTGATGAATCGTGTTTGGCCGTGTTTTTTGCTGGTGACTACACAACTGCAAATGCCAGGAAGTTAATTGATGAGGTAAGCAATTGTCTGCATTCAGCCTTTTGAATTTCTAATTGGACTTTTCTCTGGATAGCCTCTGGTGTTCCCTGAAGGGCGAGTGCAGAGGCTTTGCTTGCCTACTAACCATACCAAGCAACTGCACTGTTTAAAACCTTAAAGCAAGGTAAGAGACTGGAGCTCATCTGATCAGACAGTTGTTTTACAGCTGACATCCTGTGACTGGCGCATCTATCCTCTAATAGTTCCAGTGTACTTCTCCACCATGGCACACCAAAGCTACGTTCTGAAGAAAATGCATAGTTGATTTGATGAACTTGGCAAAATGTAGAGTAAGTGATTGGTAATGCTTGGGAAAGGGATATAGCCAATTAACTTGTTAGCTTATTGCCCTGAAAGTCACAGCTAACGAAACAGTCTGTCCTGAAAGTTTTTCCAGTACTAACACAGACTTTAAAAAAATAACATGTTAAATTGTATCACCCCTGCCACCCAGTATTGGAATTTTTTTCTGGAAGAGGCAGTGAGTGTTTGTCACGGTTGGTCAGCTGTCTTCAATTACTTAAATAGCTGGTGCTGTCTTTTTTTCTTTTTTTTTTCTTTTCCCCTGTCCTGTGAGGCAGCAGCTCCCAAGCTTGGGCTTTTCCTGGGGCTAAAATCTGGGAGTGGCTGGCTGATTTTAGCACCCTGGAGTGCCAGGGATGATGGAGCAGAGCCAATGACCATGAGCTACAGCTTCTGAGAGAGGTATCTGCAAAAGCTGCTGATCCCAGTGTTGTATGATCACAAAACAACCGATGGAACTCCTTCCCCTGGGTTTTTAACTGCAAGGAAAGAAAGCTGTAGGGTGTTCCCATGCCCTCCCACTGCCCAGTTGAATTTTTATGGAACTGAGTTACTAACAGCTACTTGAGTGAAGGGAGATAATGGTAGTTGTGAGTTGGGTTTTTTTCTGCAGAAGGAATAGCTACAGTAAAGAGGATAATATATGTGTTCTCCTGTGTTAGTAGTTCTTTAGAAATTAGAGTTAAGAAGATGCTAAAAGACTAGTTAGTGAGATTCTGTGGAAATCTTACTGCTCTGTAGATTAATGGATGCTTTGGAAGTACAAATACAGTTGCTCCTTCTCCACAAGCTTTTAGTTTCATATTGGATTTGAAGTAAAAAGCTGTGTGTGTTTGAAAGTTTAGAACTTTTTTTTTTTCCAAAATGGAAAACTTCAGTAGTGGATAGATGAGAGTTTGAACTAATGCTTGACTGAACTATTGCAGACTAATGAGAACTAACTGCTTGACTCCAGATGCTGAATGCTTTTAATTCCCATTAGTTTCAGCTTGTGAGGGATTGTGGGGGGAAAAAACCACAACCCTGGGCCATAATATAAAACAAAAATGTTCACATTTACTCCTCTAGGTGCGCTAGGGCAGAGGAGAAAATCTGGATGAATGGAATGAAAATAAACAGAAATGTAGAAAAAGCAAATGGTCTTTGAAAAGAGCAAAAAGGGTCCCTTTGCTCTGTGGCTTGATGCGTATGGGGAAAGTGGGTCTGTTCCAGTGTAATCTGGATATTCAAGCTGAACTCTCTGCCTTAGAAGCATTTTTAACATGAATTCTTTCTCTGTTAACAGATGACTGGCAAAGGCTTTCAGCTGATACAGACCAAAGAAGTCTCAATGAAGGCAGAGGATGCTCACAGAGTTTTCCAGCAGAGTGCATCAGAATTCATTCCACTGCTTGAAAAAGGTGAGTTTGTGGAGTTTTCTTTCTCTTCTTGATATAGAAATCTAGTTGTCACGAGAGAGGTCTGGAGAAGAAAGAGGAATGAAGGAGTGTTTCAAGGGCATGGCGTAAAGCCAGTTGAGATGAGTTTTAGAAGCCTCAGTCAGGCCCTAAACCAACCAAAGCTCCTGAAAGCATCAGAAATGAGCTATTCCATGTGTATTTTGTGTCTCTGCCCCCCCTCTAGTGGTCCAACCGCATAGCTCAGCAGCAGTGGCACATGCAGATCTGTCTGGGGTGGTCAAAAGAAGCTCATGCTTTTAGACTGTTTCCAATTTATCACCGTTCCCGCTCAACCACCTAGATGTTCAGTGTTTCTGTATACATAATTAACCAAATAAGTTAAATATGTGTATAAAGCAGGCAAGTGCTAAATTTCTGTTTATAACTGGTGTACTGTCAGAGTATTTCAAAAGCATTTATATTGATCTGACTGTAATTGGTTTTTGTCTCTTCCTGCAGAAGTACTGACATCTTGCCATCTGTTACATGCTAAAGCTCAATACATGCTCCCAAACTTAGTAGCAACATGCGGTATTTTTCATAGTAACATAAGAGGTCTGTGATGCTCATTGCAAGAATAGGACAAAAGTTATTGTACTTATCAGATGACAGTCTAGTTTAAGGGCTATTTTGCACCCGTGTGGGAAGAAATAACATGTTCAGAATGAAACCAGAGAAGGGGGATCTGCAAATAGTGGGTGAGAACAAGTCTAAAAATCAGGCAATTTGCTATCTTGGGACTGAGGCAAAAATGCCTGAATGACTCAGTCCTACTCCAGATGTCTGTGAAATGGCTCACTACTTGAGCGGCATAGTCTGACTCACTTCCATGATGCCCTGCGCTCCTTAGTGTTTTTGTGCCATTGCTGCCTTTCAAGAAGTAAAACTGGAATCCTGCCAGAGTCTCTGCAAAAATGAGCATGGAATTGCAGATATTTTATTCTCAGATAACACTGCACTTTGAAGCTATGGTCAAGTGTTTTTAATTCTTTATCCTGCATTATGGCTGCTCAAGCAGAAACCATAAAATGCTTCTTGCAAGCGTCACAATTCCCTATGGGTTGAGAAACCTACTGTCTCAATGCCAAGCTTAAAAGTAGTATTGATTCTAGATGAAACTATCTTCTAGGTCCAGTGGTTGCTTTGGAATTCAGTGGAGATGGTGCTGTGGAAGGATGTCAAAGCACTGTAAATGATGTTTTTAGTGGGACCAAGGTAAGTCGATGTATTGCTTTGTTGACAGAAAATGTTACAGAACATCTGTAATCTGATCTTATGACCATCTTCATGGTCAAGCTATAGTACTGTACTGCACAGTTTTTTAGGTTTCTGAATAGTAAAATCTGAATATCCTATTTTTTGTTGTTGTTTTGGTTTTTTGTACTCAAAACCAGAGTTGCTTGTCAGAGACAAGAAAAATTGCTGTAGGAAAGAGAGTACTAAATCCCCACAGCCACTGAAGAATAGAAGATTTCCACTTAAAACTGTTATTTCACATAATAGTAAAAACAAGGTCTATAAATATAGTAGGGAAAAGCTCTGCTCCAAGTCTTATATTGAAGTCTGCTTTGTGATGTCCCAGTCTATTAAACCCTGACAAAGATAATATGATGGGATTTCAACTCTTTTCAAGGTTTACTTTGTGTAAGATATTGCGGAATGCCTTCCTTCAAAGGCATTTGTCTTTTTTCTTCTGTCAGCTTGTTTTGCTGTAGCTTCTTTACACCACACCTCCTCTTTGCTTGCTGTCCCCGTTTCTCTGAATGGCAATGGTTTTAAGAAAGTTTCTGGAAATGATTAGAGCACTCCTGAAAATGAGAAAGTGACAAACCCTTTGCTTTCAAAGCAGCTGTTCAAAGACAACTAGAATGGCTTTGAGACATAGTGTCCATACAGCTCCTTGCTGTCTTTCAATTCCTTTTGAAAGAGTTACTTAGAACTAGACTGCCCAGTTTCTGGAAAACAGTCATCTTGTAATAAGTCATCTCAAATGCAGATAATGTTTGCTTTTTTCGTGTTTGCTATTGTACCAGAAAAAACCTGATGTGTATCAGGCCTCAGTTTGGCTCTCTGAGTCTGGAGAATACTAGAACTGCAGTCTGGGCAGTGTTGTGATATTACTGATTCTTTGTTGTGACCCAGAAGTCATCACTGCAAATTTTACTGTAAAAATGGCTTCTTTAAGCAGGAGCTTGCAGTGGCTTTTTTTCGTGTGATTAGCATTTTTTTTTTTCTATACAGAACAAAGCTGGTACTGGGTAGGCGATTCACTGGTCCTTCTTGATCTTTTTCCCTATTCAAAGACTGAAGTGATATTAATTACTCGAACAAATAAAATTTTATATTTTCCTCACTAAAATGACTGGTGTCTGTTATTACAACACTATGAATGCCCTAATCTGAGATGCATCCAGAAACCTCAGACTGTGGACTTCATGCTGTGAAGTAAGCATTGTTCTTGAAGGTGGTCTGTAGTGTTCAGGTTCAGTTCCAAATGTGAAATTACTTACTGCATCTGCATTTAAAACTTCTGTTTACAGCCTCATTCCATAGTAAAATCTACCTCACATTAAATACTTGCTACACTGAACTAAGAAGCAGAACTTTGGGCTTCCTGAAAAGTGTATGTCTCCATTTAGATAAAATGTAACTCCAAAACCTCTGATAAACACTGAGTTTGTGCATGGATCCCTAGATAATTGAATATCATGAGCGTATATTTTTTAAAAATGTATTTCTTTCTTGGGACATTATTTAGAATTAATTTAGGGAGTAACAAACTTCAGGCTTATCACTACCAGAAGGCTCTGGGATGCTCTATAAAATGGTTTCACCTCATTGTTGGCTTTATTAAATTTATCTGTTAATAATCTTAATTTCATGAGTTTTTTGTTTCTGAAATAAATCTGATAACTCTAGACTCTAGTATGGGTAAAAAAGTTCTTCAGCGGGAGCACGACCAGAGTTTTTTGAGCTGTTTGGTAGAAACAATGTGTTATGAGGAGAGCTCTACGCTATGCGCTTAAGCGGACTTCCTATTTGTGTGGACTAGGCACATCTACGCTGTTTATCTCTGATGTTCTTTCTGGTGTGACCTTCTGCACTTTTTTGGGCATGCTTTCTAGTATTGTTTCTCTGTCTCATTACTTATTCATAAAATACTCTGTAAAATGTAAATTGTAATATCCTGATAGGGAAGGATGCTGAAAGAAGGTATTCAACTGTTGTGACCGTGGTACCAATTGCTGTTGCACCAGATATTAAGCAGATATTCTCAAGTCCCTTCAAACAGAAGTCTACCATTCATCCAAGCAGCAGTCTAGGAAACTACTTCCTTTGTGATGATGTAATTTTTTTAAATTGGAAATTTACTGGACAATAGGATATCAGTCTTAAAACATAGTTTTAACTAAACCATTTCAAGGAACTATCATAGTTTACATTCATGTGGTGTTCTGAGCCGAAGCAGAGAAGTGGTGACTGTAGGAGCATAGTCATCTGGAATAACCCATTCCTACAGTCCTAGTGCACTTCAGAATAGCTCAGTTGGCTATGCCAACACTGATGTGCTAAGACAGTGATGATTTCCTCTTGAGGTATAGAAAATATAAGATAGTAAGGACTCAATTTAAGTTTTTGATTGAGGCCATCACTTGCACGTTGAGATTGATGAAGAGCCATAACACTTTGCCTGTTACACTGAACTATTTGGGCATTGCCTAAGGCATTTGTAGTTGATCTGCTGAAAGTTTTCAAAGATGACTGTCCTAGAGCTTGGACTTTCACATGCATTGATCAGTTTTGCAAAATGCAAATATAATTGTAGTTATTTTAAAAAAAAAGTCATCTGATGAAGAAGCAACTAAGTTTTTTGAGGGGCATATAGTGCAAGGGAGTCTTTCTTACAAAGCCTTTCTGTTAAAGGAAAGCTTAATGGTAGTCTAAGGTTTTTGTGTGTTCGTCTTTCCCCCTCTCCTGGACAGCGGTTGACTTTACCAAGCAAAATACATATAAATGGACAGTAGCTGAAGCTGTGACCCCTGAATAATCGAACCCCAAACTTTTAATTCCCATCGGTGGAAGGCTAGGGTTACAGCAGCTAGCATGTCTGCTAGGAACAGGTCACGGTAACAAAAGGTGCATGAAGGCTGAGAGAATTCTAGGACTCTTCTAACACACAGTGGAAACCAACAGAGCTGTGCCTCTCACGAAATGCAAAAATAAAAGTAACGATTACTGGCTCTGAATGAGCAATGACTACTTGAACTTCTTTATTAGTGATGCATAACTATTTCCTTGTTTAATAAAACAGGTTTTTGTATCGGAGAGCAAGGCATCAGCATCTCAAGATGTAGACAATTTCTACAACTTTGCTGACATGCAGATGGGAATGTGAAGTTTAATATGAAGGTGTTCACATACGGTTTGTCTCGGCACTTGGATGTCACTTGGCTTGAATATTGCAATAGCGTCTGAGAATTTTTGTCGTCTGGTTTTGTATTTCTCATATTACCTGAACTGGAGTAAATAGCATAGCTCCCCACGTGCGTTGTGTTTGAAACTTGTATTTCAATTCCAGAAACAACGGAGGTTTTCTACTAACTTTTTACACTGATTTCTAAATTTCTATTGGCACTTAAATGTTTCTTGTCAACATCTAATGGTTAGACATATTTGAAAAGTGCAATGCTGATCCAAATTTGATGCAGTAGTAATTATTCTCTTTAACTCAGACACATTGTTTAGAAAGTGCATTTATGTGAAACTCGCTGTTCAGAACTTTCCTACATGCAAATTGGTCTTCACTGGGGGCCAGGGAGGAAGCTGTAGTCGTTGACTTTTTCTGAAAGCCTAGTCTGAAATTAATTCTTCTTACAGCATGCTTTCAGAAGCAGCGTGTGACTTACAAAATGTACATCTGGCTTATTCTGCTTCAGCATCTTTTTTAATAAAGTTGTTTGCAGCAGCATTTATGCTGGGAATTGTCATAACAGCATCCTGGTAAGTGAGCTCTCGCCAGGCTCTTCTGCTCAGAGGTGAATTCTGAGCACGAGTGATCTGCTGAAGATGCTCCAAGGTCCACTCAGGGTCTCTGGCAATAAAGTCATGTATGGGATATACATGAGGTTCCCTTGGACTTGGAGCAATGAGTCTCTGGCACTGCTTTGGTTTGCTAGAAGGGACATGCAGCAACCAGGAGTCAGAGAAGGGCTCTGATGGCATTACAAAAATCTCTTCCTCGCTAGGAACCCAGGAGAAGGGTTTTACACTCTGTAGTAGTACTGAAAATTTGGCTCTAAAGTACTACACACTGCTGTAGGGTTTATTTTGGATTAATTCTAAAAACAGACCGAAGAAGTGCTACTAGCATTTTGGGAGATGCATTTGAATAGTGATCAGTAAGGATGCTTATTGCTGTATAGTGCATATTAGAATGCAAATCTATATGGATATTAAATACATGATTGATTTATTTTTTCATATTACATATGTACTGATTTTTCTACAAGAACTGAAAGCTTATGGCCAGGTTTACAAGCCCTCTGTAACACTTGAGCAGATTCTGTGTGCAGACGCACAAAACCAAATTTAGTAATTAAAATTGTGGCTGCCAATTTATGTAGCCTTTACAATCCATTGAATGCACTGGGGATGTGTTGAGGTGCTAAAGCAATAATTTCCTCAGTATGGTTGTCTGTCAAAAGGGAAGATCTTGTGCATCTTAACTGAAAATGAGTCTCGATTCATCAGATTCACAGCTCTGGAGCTCCAAAAGTGGGTGGCTAAAAACACATCTCTTCCTAATTTTTTAGAATTAGCACATGAAAGAATCTGTTCTCCTGAAATTCGTAATTCTGTCATGCCCAAGAGATGTTCTGAGCTGTCACTTTGTTGCTACTAGGCAAATGCTTGCCCTTAGTTTAAACTATGTATCAAGAATATGTCCTTAGGACCTCTTATTAAAGTTATGCATAGATGAAATAAGGAAGAGTATCTCGTGAAGTCACTAAACCATTGGTGTACTGAAGGTGAGAAAAACGTCACTTTTGTGAAATGTGGTTTGTTTTTTTTTTTTTTAATTTGACAGAGTGAAATAAAATCAAACTGCCACCAGAATCTGACTGGTAGTAGAAATTACCACTTATTTGCACTTAGCCAGCCAGGATTTTTTTTATATAACATGTGAGGAGAGGCTGCGAAAACAGCTAAAAATTTTAGATTGGTCTCCAAAGCACTAGTGCAACTTGTCAATGAACATTTGCAGGAATTATTCTAGACACATACAGTAAATGTATTCTTCTGGTATGGACAGTACATTAAAATTGTGTAATGTACTTCAGAACTGTCCTTGTGTAATTTATCGAAGCAGTGCATATATTGGACCATCTTGGTCTCTCAAATTTTACGTATAAGATTTCCAAACTTATACGCTGACACATGATTATATGTATGTTTATAGTTTATTTTTTGCATCATCAGCCTGCTCTGGAAGCAAAGTGCTAAATTGATTTTTGTGACTACTTTTGCTGGAGGACAGGTTGATTAATTGAATATTAATCTAGGCTTGAAACAGTGGGAAAAATGGAAAGACCAGAGTGGTGCTCTTTTTTTTTTTTTTTTTTTTTTTTTTTTCTTTTTTCCATTGATAGCCTGCTTACCAGCATAAAGGGGTTTTAGTAAAAAAGCCTAAGTAATGAAGGAGTTTCTCAATGCAATTATTCAGTTATTTATCTTTTGACTTCAGTTTCTTGCTAATGGCTGTTAAGAACACTTCTAGCCTAAGTGTCAGGTATTGTATGTGTTAGAGTGGTACGTGCTTCATGTAGTCTTTGTATGTTTGTTGTATAGCTTTTTATGTAATTTGTATTGCACTGTGAATGTGATTCATAATAAACATTGAAAATCTAAACTCTGGATTCAGGAAGACTTTTTAAAATTATAAAATATTGCAAAATGTAATTACATTCTATTAAGTATAAAAACTGAATTCCATGTTTAAAGGGGGACTTTAAATAGATACTCACAGCTAATTGAAAATAAGCATTAACTCTGCAGTCATCGAGCCTCCAAAAAAGGTGAATTTTTGATAGCAGGGATTTTTTCCCAGAGTCATTGAAGATATGATTAACTTTACACTGCGGTTTTCCTAGTAAAATATGGAAGAAGGTATTCTTATATCAAGCTGTAGAGATACAAGTACAGAGATTCCTGGATGGAGACAGTTAAAGCACTTCTCCCTGATCTCTGTGTGGATGTGGTTGTTTCTTTTTGTTTTGTTTTTTAACTTATAAAAGTTTTGTGCTTTTTAACTGTGCTTACTCCTTTGGGTACTAGATGCATGCTAGCGATGTGCTCACAGCAAAACCAGATTGTGATGGTTATATTAGTAGAATTGTTCATTCAGAAAGCAATTCCTTTGTGTATCGCATTTAACATCTAGAGACTCCTGAAAACGGGTAAACATTTAATAAATTTCCAAACTCAGCTTTAAACTGGTCAGAAATGAGAATCTTCCAACTCGAGATGGTCTAGGGTAACTTTCATGAAGCATGAATGTTTGCTAAGAACATGAAGTACTGTATCAATATAATTTTCTGTTGAATATTTTGAGTTAAATTGTGAAGCTTTAGAGAATCAAAGCTTTTGGTTTACACTTAGCTATTGTACAATTTTACAGTTTAAAAAAAAATCTTGTACCCCAATTGGATCTAAGTTGCCTAGTAATCTTTTTTATGTAGTATCTAAGTCATAGCAAAGCTGTCCTTAAGTATTTTCGCAATTTTTACCAATCACATCCTCAAATACTAACATGCAGAAGCTTTGTATCTATGCCCTAGTTGCTAGGAAGTCACCCACTTTCTTTTGTCCTATCTAAATAGTCATGCATAAGATGCATGGATTTAAAAGTAATCCACATACCAGGCTGCACTTACATAACTGGGACAGATATTTTTTTTCTTCTTCAATTCCAAAAGGCAGCCTGAAACTTTTTATTACAAAATATGTGCTTCAGTCATTCTGACTAATAGGGACAAAAATGAGTTTTACTGACTTAAGCATGAGTGAGAACTCTGTAGCTGAATATATGCTTCTTTTAAATGCTGGTTTTTAAGTGTTTAGGCTTTATTTATATAGCATTCAGCTTTCTGTCCATATTTGAATTAGTGTTGCTGATAATAGGTGTCAATTCCCCAGGCTTTTTTCCTAAAGATTTAATAAAAGCTGCTGTGAAATGAATCTTTCAAGACCTTGTAGCAGCCCACGTGCCTGCCTGAATAGTTCCTACACTCTAGGATTTTTGCTATCAAGTTCCTTGTTGACTCTTTTGGACCTTTGTGCCACCTCTTTTTTTGAATTCATGAGTAAGCCTTCTGAATCCGTAAGGGTGACATAGGTCTTTGGAGGTCTGCAGGAACAGCTCTTCCAAGGCATGTTTAAACCTGATCTAAACCATCTAAATTCTAGTCCCAACAGTATTAAAAGCTATGAATAAGTGCCAGTTGTAAGTATTGTCTCTAGCATGCACAGATTTGAGTGGGATGGTGCAAGCAGGCTGTAGCACTTCACTAAGTTGTGTGCTATAGCGCTGCATTCTTGCTCCAGTATACGCTGGAAGGCGGCCCTGTGGTGGTCCACCCTGTTCCCTGGACATTGCAGAGCTGGCAGTACAAGCTATAGCAATTTGCTGAGGATAACAATTTCTGAAAAATAACAACTTGCTGTGTTGCCAGCCTGGAAGTTTTTCTTACAGCTATCGAGTCTGAGCTCTGTCTCAACACAACCATCTATGTATGGGAAAACTATACAAGCAGCAAACCTGGTACAGGCAGGACGTGCAGGCGGCTTCACTGAACGATTGGGAGTCACCGTGTGTTAACAGGTAGTTAACAGGTGTTAACATGGTGCGTTAACCTAAGAGACATTACTATCTTGGTGTCCAGTTTGATAGAAGAATGCTTTTTACTGCTTTCATCTATTCAGAATGCCTGGTTGCCATAAGACTGTTGCTGGTGATGTTTGTGGTCGTGCAGTCTTCCTGATGCATATGTAGTCATCGCTGGTTCTGAGTAAGAGAGAAGAAAAGGAGGGGGAAGTGAGAAGCTTTTAAAAAAGCTCTGAAGTTTTCTGAGTACACAGAGAAAAATGTGCAACTGCTCATTCCTTTATTTTTTTATGCCTGTAGTGATAATCCCCAGCTATGTACAATTTCATGGCTAGAGTGTCTGAGTACCTTCCCAGAATGTATTAAGCAATGTGACCAGCACCTGTCACATACAAGTCATCCTGTTGCCAGTCGCACAAGACTTTAAAATTGCTAGTGTTGTCGAGGGTATAATGAGATCTTCCAAATCCACGTGGATTTCCCTCACATTCTTCTGTTAAAACCACTACAGAAAGTTTGTCCTTAAAAGCATCAGGTAAAGCTGATAGATAGGAAATGATGGTGAGGTTAAGAGGTGTTTAGATGGGTGTCTGTCTGATGCTCCCAAACTGCAAAGGCTAAAAG